GCATGTGCTGTTTTGCCCCCTGCACCCTAGTGAAGATGTATCAAGGGCAGGTCAGTAGCAAGGTATGATTTTTGAACTGCCTTTACAAGAAAGGACAGGAGATGGAGAAGCAGAAAAGGCCACACAGTAGCTGTGAAGTAAAACGATCTCCCGTTCATTTCTCTGCTTTCCAGAACCAGCTGCTTCAAGCCTTATCTCCTCCCATGTCATTTGCAGACGCTGGAAAGTTTCTTAGCCCTTTAGAAATATAGTACAACAAATTGAACAAGAATCCTCTTCCCAGTTATTTGATTCTCTTTCAACATTATTTAAAAGAGCTAGATATATTAAAAAAAGCAACAGTACATTTCCGTTCCCGCCCCAGCATTGCAGTCTGCCTTTGTGGTGTGAATGGATTTGCTGGGTAACCTTTCCACAGGAAGGACTGAAATGTCCTGACCCAAAAGCTTTTGTGTAGCAGACATACTAATACCTGCAGGGTGACACAGCGACGTGGAAGTTATGAACTGATCATGCTGCCACATGCCCAGGAAAGAGTATTGCTACAGCCCCTTCCAACACTTTACAAATCAGGGTGGTCCTGGTTTGACTCTCCAGGACTCCTGCAGACTCTCCAAAGATAGCAATGACATTTCCTCATCTTTTTACCCTTTCCTCCCCATTTCAAGACAGCAGTTATTTCATAACCTATGTGTCTCTATAGTTGACAGTTATTCTTAGGCAACTGTAAGCTACAAATACAAGTGTCTAGCTAACAAAATATACATGCTTTGTGTAGCATGAACTGCTCTTCAGCCAGCGGTGCACACACAATAGACCTTGTTGCTTCATGAACTAAAACAAGGCAGGAGATATCAGCCAAGGCTTTCCCTTCTTGAGGGACGAGAGCAGGCACTAGTGAGACTCATGATAACAGAAGAGGAAAAAAACCTGTAGTTACCTAACGGTGGCCCAAATCCTTCAGATCAGGCGCACAGAAGCATGTGAGTTTCTGTGGAAGCCTGATTTATATTAATCAAACCAGCACTGAAAAGCATTACCACAAAATTTATTCTAATACCTGTTGTACCACACCCTAAAAACAACAAAAGAAAACAAGCTGAGATAAAAGGTATTTGCTGTCAAAGGTGGGGAAACACCTTCAGAAAGCCACAATGTTGGCTTCCTCTAAGAAATTAAACAAGAGCGGTAGACATTCTTCAGATTTCTTTTCAAAGACAGGTGTCTTGTCTACTTGGGTTTAGCATACCACCATGACAGGGCAGTGCAGTTCGTGACCTGGGGGCTGCAGCCAGCAAGAACAGTTTCTCACTGTTCAAGCAGAAAAAGCAGGTAATTCTGTGTAAACCCTGGTCCCGTGAACTGCTTGTGATACTCTGCACTCTGGAGGTGCCCCAAAACTGGCATCAGCCCCAAATCCTTGAAAGCCTGAACCTTGTCTGACATAAATTTATAGCACCTGAGCTATAGTGTGCTAGCTCCCTAGATGAACATCCTTGTGGACAGTGAGGGCAAGGCAGTATAATCTGCTTTCTCCACAGGTTATCTGCACACCATGAGGCATCCATGGGGAAGCTGGCACGGAGAAACTACCATGTGCTCAGTTCCCACCCTCGATCCATGTATTTTAACTTGTGGATTTGCACAAACCTGAATGACTAGAAGAGAGCTGCATGAGATAAGTTGGCTAAGTGATCCATATTAGACATAGTGGCCAGCTGCAAAGCAGAACAGCTTTACCCTTTGTACGTTTTTTGTTCCCAAGACAAGAGTACATAACACAGAGGTAAGGTCGAAGCTCTCCTGTTTCATGTTGGAAATCCAGAGTAAGAGTCACTACTCAACTTGCTCAGCTGCTGTAAGACAGCTTGGCCATTTCTTAAGTTGTTAAAACCATAAATAATTTAAAAAACTCAGACCAGTAGCAAGACATCTAAAATACTGCTTGGTCTCCTCTTAGAGCATTTGTCCTTAGCAGAACTCACTTGAAGTGATGCTAGGCACTGTAAAAGGCACTGAGGTCCTGTGTGCGCTGAACTCTGTAAAACCACATCTCACCAGGAGGACACACTGCACATGGCCACGAAGAGGCTCCAACCTAAAAAGCATGCCCTGTTTCCTCACAGTTGAGGGGCAGCAGGCTTGCGGTATTTGCACTGGATCCATACTCGATACATTGTCATTTGTTTCCCACGGTTCACTTGCAATCGCCGATCAACCAGATTCTGGATTTTCTCCAGCCCAGCTGTTGTGAAGAGATCATCTAATTCATCTGGAAGCAGAGAGAAGGAGATTGAGGATGCCATAGCTTTCATGTAACCGATACTTGCTCACACTGAGGGTTAAACTATGTTGAAAGATGGGCCAGAGGAAACTGAGGGTCTCACTCTGGCAGGGAAACATAAAGATGAGACAGGACTTAACTACTGTACTATGGGGGGATTAAGATCACAGTTTCCCTAGTTTCCCTTGAGTTTACCTTCTACCAAGGAAGGAAAGAACTATTTGGAGGACAACTAGAATTACAGACTCGACAAAGAGAAAACAGCAGCAGTTTCAGACATGGGTATCGCCTCTAGGAACCAATTAAGGGAGCATCTTCTGGCGAGTAGGGACAGATCCATTCCTTCCCCCTCCCCCCCTCTCTCCAGAGGAATTTCAGAGTCTGCAAGAACGAAGAACGGGATCAGACCTACGCTTTTAAATGGTGGCAGTAAGATCTGTGCTGTATAGGCTGGAGGGGAACGGGATTCATTAAAGTTAAGTTTGGGAAAAAAAATGCTTAAAAAAACCACACCCTGCTGGGGCCCAATCAAAGCTCTAAGAGCCCTCGAGGCTGCAACACTTACACTGGCAGGTATCCTGACCAAGCAAGTAAGTATCACAGTGCCCCAGCACACTGGCCGTAGGCAAAGCCAGACCGAGTCCCGCTGAGCAGCAGAGAGCTTGTTCAACTGCAGCCCGGGAGCACGTGATTTGTATGGAGTTTCTGTAGAAAAGGGCTAACAGGTCCCAGCTTGTGCTCTTTTATCAGATGCTTGCCATTGTGAAGTGTTTGCCAAACACGCATTAAACATTAATTTTGTTGTGACAAACAAGACTCGTGCAGTGGGGAAGGGAATAGCTCGTTGCAGTTGTGCCACCGCTCTAAAACTGACCGTGCAGAGGGGCCCGTGGTGGAAGTGACTGGAGGTGC